GTTTATCATGATGTTTCAGCTATGTCCGTCCTAGACTCGTGCCTACTTCGGCTACGGTTTGGAAAGGATCAATTGTTGAGCGCTGCGGCAACTCCGCCTCAAAAAGTGCGCACAAATGGGAAGGTAAGCCATTCACCAATTATGGTTTCCTTTTGCAATTATGCGGATGACGTGTGTGTTTCTTTCAACTCAGGTACCTATTGAGTTTTGCTTTAATAATGTAGAAAGGCAAACAATTTCGATCCTGTATGGTCCGACGGGAGAGGATCTTTATGGGAGTGTTTCTGGAGCATTTTACTACGGTCAAGAAATTTTCGAAAAGTATCCCAAGAATATGACGTACTACTCCCTTGTCTCATAAAACTGAGAATGTGAGTCTGTCAACGCTAACTAGCTGTCAGATTTCGCGATTTCATCGCGATCTGTTTCGAGTAGGGCGTGTCTATTGATCCGTATGTGCCCTGGCCCGCTTGCAATTCTGGCATCGCAATGGCAATCGCGTAGTCTGGCCGTTAACACTCAGCATGTTGGGAGATCAGGAGAATCGTGGTATCGTCGGAGTATGCACGAAAAAGATGAGTGCTTCTCGGCTGGCACGTGATTTGAAACGTATTCCGAGTGACAAGGTAGCGCTAGACACAGGATAGACAGCAAAGTGCACGCGCATAGTCTTCTTCGAGATTCTTCGATTTTAGCTGAACGCTGAGTATGAAGCATGAATCTGGACAAATGCGAAAGGTGGACAAGTCGATGTCTTGAAATGCGAACAAGACGCGCGCGATGACCGCTTTGATACTGCGCCGTCGCTTCAAAAATCTCCTGGCACATTTATGGTCGTTACTAGGTTCGAAATTGACCTGAGTTTCCCCTGTAATCTTACCGATAATCGGCTTTTTATAGTCCTTATTTACTGATACTCTTGTCAAGTTCTGAATGTTTGCGATAAATACGGTTCAAACATTCACAATTCCTTCATGTATTGTGTAATGAAACTGATGTATGCGTGAGAACTTAAATATTTTTATTAACTCAACTTTGAGGCATCGCGTATACCCTTAGATGTCCCATAGACATTATGCGCTTTAGGTGACCTGGAGCCCCGTCACGATATACACCAAGGATGGTTGCAGTTTTTGTACCAGAGCTAAGAGTTTGCTCAACGAGGAGAAAATTGAGTAAGTATGTTTCACTGGACTGCTTCTACACGTCGTTGTCATAGGTTAGGTAGACGAGTTGAGTACGGCATCATGTTTGCTAGTGCAAAATCGAAGCTGCAAATCGCTTCTTTTACTCGTAATTGGTAACGAAGCGTTCCGAGGGTGTGCTTTGCAGGGACAAAGCGATTTTCAGCTTCCGCAGCGCGAAACATTTTCGCTCAGAGGCCTAAGGTGCAATTCTATAGACGGGTGGACACGAGGTTCACAGCAACAAAAAAGAAGGAATATCAGCAGGGAAAAGTAGCATATCCCAGCGAATCACACCCGCGTTTCAAGGTGTGCACTTGGGGTAGTATCGTTGGAACAAGAAGCGAGCTCTTCGTTCTTCGCAGCCAGAACATTCTCGCTGAGAAACGTGAAAATTCGCTTTCTGTCCGAACGATCCACATCCTGCACGTACCTTATATGGTAATATCACTGTGCAATACAGATACGATGGTTTAGGTACACCGAATGTAATATAGATCGACTGAAAGAAACGGATCCGAAACAGTATAAACCTCGAGTCAATGGTCTAGTTTATATGACAAAACGACAATGCCACAGGTTGGTCATGTTCTACTAATTATTTTTTAGAGTCATTTATTTGTACGTATTTTGATAGCTACAGTATGCAGTGAGGGATAGGGATCTGATGATTCGTGGAAGAGCGAAGCGTTTTTTTTGCGGTTTATGAGCAGGAAACATCTCCATGATCTCAGTCTAATGATTTTAAAAAATTCATTTGAACGCTTTTTTACCTCCCATTGAATTCCTAGTTTTTTTTTCAAATAGGTTTTGATCAACTTATGACTACTCCGTTTATTTCTTCTGTGATTCAGATATTCATATGTGGACACTTCGTCGGAGGGTGTACGGATCTAGAAAAAATGCGAGAGTCGCGGAAGCTTCACGAAGCACTTCTCGAATGTACCGGCGAGAATAGTAGATTTGATTGAGGTGAGGATTCGAATGTGTTGATAGTTGTAACATGATTGCGCTCTCAGTGTCGCATCGACAGTCGGCTTTGTACTTTCTAGCTGGAAACGAGGAGAAATACCGCTGTGGAAGTAGAATATCTAGGCCGTACTCAATTGATCTTAACCGACTCATTCTGGCTACCGATCAGAAGAATTTCCGCTCTTCTGCCTTTGCATCTCTCGTGGTCAGGATTTGGGCTTCCGCACGCGAACATCCCGTGCATACTCATGAAGCCTGTTCTGTTTATCGAAATCTATCATTTTATGATTCTTCGTAGGCGAATTTTGGAATTCTTTTTATCTAAATGTATTCATCCTTTAAGTCAAGAGTCAAGAGATGAAGATTTGTATCCCTTAAAGCATTTTATTTTTCATGTCATTGCCTTAGCAATTTGCAAGGCTGTGTTTGATCCAAAATCCCATGCAGTATGTGGTAAAGCACATTTTTTCTATTTTGCATGATCTGTTTACGTTTATGTTAATCTGTTAAGGAAATTAGATTCGCACAGAGTGTTCATTGACTTCAGATGAGATCTGATTGTCCTTTGATGGCTGACATAAATGGATGCAATTTTGTGTTTCATCTGGTTCTTTGAATTCATAAGACAGCGTGATTACCCATTGTGTTATTGATTAGATTCAAATATAAAAGCTTTCAAACTAGTTGGTTTGAGTCTCATTTGATGTCAGGACTAGACAAGGATTCATTAGCGATGCCTTCATATCAGTTTACACATTCATGTGATCCTAGGTTTTCTCTGAAAGCTTGCCTTCGTACTGAGTCATGCTTCGTAAACGTATACGTATAGATGAGTATTCAATTTTATTGCGCTCCATATACTTTATGGTGGTTAGTTGAAAATTTGTTGAAAAAACCAACCAAACATCTACCTCCGTGGTGGCCGCGTGGTGCACCGTAGGCATCACACGGTGGTGCATAGACTCACATGGGCGAGATGAATTTTTATTAAGATTGATGTATGGTCATGAGCAAGGTATGTAGATGCTTTAGATAAAAAAATGTGATGTTGCACAGCGATATTAGACAGGGATGGCCCATTTAATTCGCGTTGGCGACAAGAGCAGGGGAATGTGAAGGCTACGGGTGTCCCCCAAGAGGCCCACCGCGCGGCGAAGGAAGAGACGCAGATGCGGCAAAGGACGAGTCGCAGCGCGTGCTGTGCGATATGAGACGTAGTATGGTACACTCTATTTAACCTGACGCCTAACCGCTACAGTATGCGCTGCGACTCGTCCTTTGCCGCGTCCGCGTCTCTTTCTTCGCCGCGCGTTGTAAGTGACCCTTCGTACGCTGGTGTGAAGCGAGTCACTTGAGCAATCATCTTTCACTTTTATGATCCGACTGGTATGATAGAATCTATCCAAAGGAACTACTTCAAATGGAAGTTTAATGAAAGTTCTCGACCTTTGTGCTATGGATGAGTAATCCTTTTCCATGATTATGGAATTCAATATCTAATTCGGCTTTGGCATGTCGCCAACTCAAACTGCAAGTCATCACAGATTTCTTTTCCAAATTCATTGAATTCTTGATTACTTTCAATTTGATCACTTTCACTTTATCCTGCAACTAAGAGGCTTCACGTTCAAAAGCTCAAATAAGTGAGAGCAAGCAATTTCAAGTCTTCACATGGCTTGGTTATCGAATCGTAGAATTAATGCAGCATGGATTAACTACCAAAAATAAGATGATGGTCAAAACCAGTGAGGTACCACAACGCAACTGGATACTACGTACAATTCCTGAGTTTAAAACGACACGATGAGATATGCACTGACACAGAGATCGATGAAATGAGCGATATCATAATTGAGATACAGTCGAACTAACACTATGGCGATGAGATGCTTGACACGACGTTGAATAACTTTCCAAAATCCTCGAGATTCTGGATTGATCTGTAAATCGAAAAATGGCTAAATAAAGAAATTAAACAGTAAGTACAAAGTACAAAACCTTCTTTTTAAGATATGATTGGACAACTGCGAAACTTATTGGACGCGTTGGAGAATTTGGAGAGGGCAGTGCGAAGGTACCAGGAGGTGAGGAGGCGCAGGAGGGCGTACGTTCGAAGGTAACACGCGCCGTTCTGCCCACCCGTATGAGAACTTTTGATGAATACCTAGCCGTGGCCGATCCTTCCAACTTCAAAATTACACGGGATTGTCGCCGAGAGAGTTTGGAGACTCTATGAGGTTCTCGCTGATAGCCTGAGACACCCTATAACTCACGCCTCTCTGATATCTGGCGAACAGCGACTTTTTGCTTTTTTAAGGTAACAAATGCTTTTGAAAAGGTCTCCTTGATGCTGCGGTGCTAATGCCTGCAACTTAAGATTTGTGGGCACGGCTCCGAGTTCTGCGCCTTAGCAGAGGACCTCCACATTGGAAGAACGAACGACACTGAGTGAATTATTACCCACGCGCCTTGGGTTTATGGAGGAAAATATCCTTCTATTATATAAAGCGCTAACTTTGTGTGTCGGTTTGTATCTGTATGTGTGTGTGTGTGTGTGTGTGCGTGTGTGTGTGTATGTATGTGTGTCCGTCCGCAAAATGAAGTGAGTGAGAAGGAAGCTCATGGGATAAACAAACCGCTAACAAATCGGGTAGCTTACAGGATTTGAGATATCAATGTTTTGTAGCAGGATAGTTGTGATAACACTCTTAGGGCTATATAAACACCTGCTTAGCACACTTCCGTTCATTCCACATGGTGCTGCAGTGGCAGCTGGAGGGCAGTGGAGAGAGGAAGGGAGGATGAGGAAGGGAAGCGAAAAATCTACCGTCATATCATGATTGTGTCCCTTCTACTGTATGAAACACCATTGTGTTGCATACGCGTCACTTCCAGGTGTTGGTGTCACAGGAGGAAGGGACCATAGCGGAGGATAGAAAGCTTGCGCAGGAAAGGAAGGTCCCGGCGGTTGACGGGGGACTAATCTGGTAAATAAAAGTACGAGAAACAAATCGATGGTTTTTTTCAATAGATATATTTGGTTGCAGAAACCTGCGCACACGGGTAGCAGATACTACAGCTACAAAAAAAAGGTACAGTATCGTCCTACTCGCTGTCGTGGACTGCGACTGTCGCTTCCTACTGTTCGGACGTTGTAGACGTCCGGGCGCATAGAGGGTGATTCGGGGGTCCATCTGGCGTTGCAGGGATCCCAAAGGTGCAGGCATGAGATTCACATTTAGTCGAGTGTAATTCATGTGCTACAAACTATTCCAGCAATTTTCCGACGAGCAGCGGCTCATGCCACGTCTTCCCCAACACAGAGAAGTGTGGGGCCAGTGACCACATACTGGTGATTGCGGCTTTGCACAGGGACATCGCTTCGTTACGCCATATGCGAGGGGATCAGCGAATACTGCGAGCAGGCGCAGGTTCAACACAAAGCACAGCGGGGAGTGTCTGGAATAAAATAATGAAAAACGATATATCCCACCATCTTCATCCCTTCTACTCCTTTTTGCACTTGGTTGGCTTCTTCCACTACCCGCAGAAGACGCTTGGGAAGACGCTTGACTGTGGCTCCTCTGGCTCCCTGCGGGGGAGCCCCTATCCTCTGGAAGATCAAGGTCAAGATCGAGAGTTGTCTTGAATCGTCCGCTTTTGTCCACGTTTGAGATGGTCTGCCTGAAATGGAATTGGTGCAAGACGTTCCGGCGAATCTTTTAGCGGAACGCACCCGTGGTATTCATTCTTTTCCAAGAACGACATAGCTTCCATATGAACCCATTGAGGCTCAGCAGCAGCTCCTGACGGCATGTTTCTTTTCTTCCTCCAGACGTCCTTCAAATTTTTCCAGATCCCTCTCAAATCAGCAACTAAACTTCTAATGGTGAGTCACTTCGAAGGTAATATTCTTTCTTAGACAGTTGAGGAGAACAACGGCGTACCACTACATTCGTGGCCCTGTTCACGCATGTCGTTCATTATTCTTTTCCAAGGCCATCTCTTTTCTATCCTTCCTTGCATAACTGATGTGCGAAGTATCCCAAATACAAGGTTCCATGTAGACCATCTCAATCAAATGCGTACGAAGCGCAACGGAAGACTTCCTGAATACCACATATCCTTAATCCCGATCACATGAATACCACTACTCTTCCGCGATCGACTGCATGACTGACTGTCCCAAATTGCAACTGCGTTGTGTTGACTAAGTTGACTGAATCATGAAGTATTGTTTAATGTTATGCGTTTGCGTTACATGTTGTTCGTGTAGGCACCGTCATGCTCCAGGATTTCATAGATCAGGAGATTAGATCCATAGATCCTCATTTCCCAATCAATGCATTTTTCATTACCGATCAACCTCATAAAACTGAAATCGTGGAGCATGAGCGCAGCCATCAGCGTGTTAGAGTAGCAATCAAAAATTAATAACTTATAACAAATCAAATGTTCTAAGCTGAAATAGACACACGTGTTCACAAATAAGCAACTGACAGGAAGGAACCTGGAAGCAAAAAACCCTCAACTGGCGAACAAACACTTTGTTAAACATGAAGCAAAATCATTCCATATTTCCGCTAGCCCTGTGCATGGTTACAAACAACAGACAGTGCCAACAAAATCGAAAGAAAAAGTGCCTCACTGCAATACATGAGATGTGCGAGATAAACAGCGTGTGCGAAAATACATGCTACTAAGTAAATGTGAGTTGTAAGCAGGGGGAAGAAGTGTAACGATACTATAATGTGCTATTCACGGGCTTCACGGCCAATTCACGGGAAGTCATGCATTTCATAATGCTTCGCGCTCCTTTCCTAGAACAGGTGAGAACTACAATCCTACAAAGATAACCACTACAATGATACAGTTCACGCACTCTGAAAAGCCGTACCTCAATTCACTCAGAAGCGTCCCACTGTAACCAAACGAAGCTTCCAAAGACAACACCCATATTGTGCACAGCTGAAACAACCCTGATAGTGGGTTACTTGTTATCGCTGATGTTTGGAGCTTATACCACTCACAAAATTTCACTTTAAAACTGAATTTTCCAAAATTTTTGCACCTTTGAAACTTTTTCTCGCTTTAGCAGCCCTTCCTCGCAATAAATGAATCATTTTTAGCACGTTGGAGCCGCGCATGTTTTACGTTTTGTGGCCGCGTGGGACTTTAGGAGAATTTTTGGGAATTTTATCAAGCAAATTGAAGAGAAAACCTACTGTATGATGCAGAAGAAACCTTATCGAATGAAATGAAACGAAAGCAAAAGGAAAACTTGATGCTTATTTCTAAAATGTGGACATTAAGGTCAGCCCACATAAGGACTGCATCGGCTTGGAACGGTGGTGATTTCGGCATGTATCTCAGAATTAAAAAATCCAACAGATCCGCTAATGAGAAGGACAAAATGTGGCAGGAAACGCTCACCCCGAAGAAATCATGAAGTGGATAATAGAAAAAGGAGGATTGTAAGGTTCCCAACCTAAAAGGCAAGCATGCCGGCAAGAACGGAGCAGATTATCTCTCTAGGAAAACTTAAAAAATACTACCGCAATAAGGCCGGTTCAAGACAAAATTTCACAAAGACTAACTTCCTCCAGTCGTATTCCTTTTCTAACAGCAATCGCCTGGACAAGCGTATGATCCATACAAAAGAGCACATACAGGCCGCGTAAAAGTAGAACAAGCTCCACGGTGTCCAAAACATCCTAAATGCAGCAATTGACCACGAGTGCTGTGAAAACACCTTTGAATACATACCTGTCCTTGATGGTTGGATCGGTATCGTGCCATGTCCACCACAGCAGCTTTGTTCCCAGAATACGATACGGAATAAGCAACATCGCGCTACTAAGACCAACTGCTGGACCTTCCGCCCACAAAGGGAGGCGCATTCTGCAACACATTCTCTTGAACGGGCAACTTGTAACCATACTGACACCACTACAGGTCAATCAATCGATGGCATATACTCTTATTAAGTCTTTTCAATGATTCAATATATGGGAAGTATGGAAAAGAACTCGAAAATGCTGACCACCATGAATCACTGTAGAGGTCGGACTCTCATTCTTCCATACTCATAAGCCTTATGAGTATGAATTGCTGATTAATGCCCTAGACAAGTCGCAAAATACAGACTTTAAGCGGGATAAACTTAGACAATATTTTAGGCCATCTGATCGATAAACAACAGTAAATACAGCTATTCTTACCTGCATCACGAAGAACAAACGCGGTGTATCCACACATTTGATGGATTCCGAAGAAAGCATACAAGTGGCACTCTCATGCCAAAAAAGCTGAGCACACTCTGAATTAGAAAAGCCCCAAATAAGATGGTAAAGATACACACCTTGCAATGAAGGCCACTTAAAAAGGCAATGTTACCTGAGCATGCCATGACAGATTCAGATCCGGTACAGATAGTGCTAGACTTTCTAAATTGAAAGCATGTATTGTGATCGCAATCCATACGTAAAGATAACGGCCACCATGCGATATGCTAAACAAAATTCGAGGTGCATTTTTATATAGAATAAGAAGTCTGGACCTAACAGTTGGAAACACCTGTCAGTAATTGATAGCTAACTCACCATGCATAAGCGTAAGGAAACAAAGAAATGCGAAGAGTGCATCGGCGAGAAGGAAATATGGATTGTTGTGCAGAATCTTCGTTGGACTCTCGTATTTACAGAACCAATTCTCGCCAGCATGTAAGCTTGAATTTGTTACGAACTTGTACTTAGCTCGTACATGTTAGATTGAACTAGACAACTGTACTGAATTGAAGGCATCCTAATATTATGACGACGGCAGATGGATTTTCGGCTTTAGTATGTGTATTGTCATAGTCTCGAAAAATCAACATCGCGGAAGTCTTTGAATCAGCGAAATGTATTCCTATAAGCCCTGTTGATCATAGCAGCCCACAATCAGATCAAATGATATCTTCGATAAAGATGCACACTTTTCGAGCGTCATAGTCTCAGTTTTCTTCAACTATGAGACTACTGTTTTCTGTATTTGATAGAAATAACTCGACGTCGAAGTGGCACATTGCCCTGCTCGCAAAAACCCAATAAAAGAAAAGCATAGGCTGATGAGCATCGAGTAATCAATCCAGAAATGCCAAGGGTTTTTGGAAAAAGACACTCCCGTCGATTTATGAATTGACTAAAATTTTTCATCTACATGCGGCCTGACAAGCAAAGATGATCAAGTGTGCGGTCACACTGCTACTGGCTTGCACTTCGTTTGCAACATTGGTGTGCATTAGGCCGGTGTCAGAGTCCGCGATCCGTCGCAAGTTTCGCTGATTTTCGCGAAACTTGCGACGGATCGCGGACTCTGACACCAGCCTTAGAGATACATCGATTATGCAACCCAACGATAGCATGACGATACGTTATTCCACAGTCGCACCTCAAGACAGTCGTAAAGTAGGACCACACACTAGATGAGATTAATGACAACTATACCGTACCTCAACAATTGTCCTGGAGCTATTCAAGGATGGAAGGACCATGCAAACCAATTATAAATGGGCTGATGATGTGAAGGGGATTGGAGGATTAGAGATATTGCGTATAGGTAGGTGAAATGTAGACTAAACTAATTCCCGCACGGTACTGTCATGACCCTTCACCGGGGAGGTTTTCGAATCCCAACCCTACTCCGGAAGAATATCTAGGTCAATCGATAGAATCAAGAACACTTGTCATAAATATGAAGATCAGAATGTTGCGTGAACCTTCTAGAAAACTTGTGAGCAATCAAAGTTGGCAGAAATGTAGCAAAACATTTAGTTGTGATGCCACACTGGCGCCAGATAAATACTGTGTCAAATAGATGTTATATGCGATCAGGCCACCTATTTACCCATACGGGCAAGCCTTCGGAGTGAATGATATTGCCTGAAATTAGTAGGCTATTTCCCTCCTGCACTTCCGCTTCATTTCCTGCCGAACTAACGGCTCACAACTTGCTTGGAATGCTCACGTGGTACTGTTGGTCACCATATTTGTTAACAGTACACATGACCCTGTCGATTTACCTAAGTTTGGATGCAAAAGTTGGAACATTTCTCAGAAAAACCGCAGAGCCGTTCACCCATCAGAAAGAAAGAAGGAATGCACAGTGAGGTTCAATGTTCAGATGAGGTCTAATCAGACTTGGCTGCATTTAGCAGGGGAAAGGGGCTCAAAGAAAGTGGAGAATTTATTTTTTAATATCCATTTAAACTGTCCTGAGCGCACCAGTGAGGGATAATAACGGCAGATTTCAAAGTGTAGAACTCGGGTAAAGCTAAACCGTTGAATTCAGCAGGTGTGAGGAATAGAGAAAGTGAAGAGTTACAACGCTAATGTGCGCCAAATGATAAAATTACAAAAAAAATAAGGAGAAATGAAAAGAGACTATGCATAGATATGTAAAAAGGATCATGTAAGATCACACCTGAACGACTGTCAGCGCTCGCTGGCCGATACTTTTCCTTGTCTCTGGTGCGACAACGAAAGGCAAATAGTCAAAAACATATCTATCCAACAGGTAATCCATCACCCAGCGTGAGCGTGATCCTGGAAAAGAAGAATTGAGGATTTTCCACGACATATAAGAAGCTTAAGTGAGAAATTTCGCGTTGAAATAGAAAATTTGTAGACGCTACACATCGCAGTTCTTAAGGCACAGGGAATTGCACTGCTCGATTTGCCGTCAACTTGTTTTTTTTTCGTAAAATAATGGTGGAATAACTGAACACTGATCAGGAAGGAAGGTGACAGTCCCGTGAGCGGACGGACATAGCTGACCATCATGGCATGAATTAATGCACCAGGTCAAGTTTTAAACCACAACGCAAATGACTAAATACGCAGAACCGGCCCTCAATTGAAAACAACAGGCTCGGAAACAAACACCGTACATTTAAGGAACATCCGGAACCCTTGACTGTCAGCTTTGAGTCACCTCGACGCTCCGACTTCATAGTGGTCCTCCGCCATCGAACCGTTGTCACATTCTGAAAAAGAAAGAGTCAAACAAAAGTGCATTGCAAAAACCAAACATTAAAATTTCTCGCTTGAAGTCCTTATTTATTTTACTAAACGTGCAACTGAACGAAAAACAAGATGAACGAACAAGATGAAACAAGATGAACAGATGAATGAGCGAACACGTACGAAAAAGAGCGAAACGTTGAGAAAAAACAGTCATAATGCCTCACGACGGGCGAAATCGGGGAGTAAACCGCGAGATTGCGTAATCGGGGGG